ATAGCACTGGTGGCCAGTCGTCGGTCATTAGCGGCCAAAATAAGTGCAAATCTATGGACGATGTGCTCAACTGTAATGACATACACATCGAGACTATCGGTGATGATAGTGAGGATCAGTTGGGAGATAAAGACCCCGATGATGACAGGGATCAGCTACTGGTGACCAACACTATGCCCAGAAGGAAATGTGACCATGGTGCAATTTTGGGCTCAAAGTCACTGCCAGTTTCCCAATCAAATAGCATAGACTGTATACTCAGTGACCGATCGCTGGCAGAAGACAGAGATTTTGTGACAAAATTGTGATTTGATTGTAAAATATTGACTAAATATTTGTGTTATTTTGTGTTTTATATTATTATTTAGGAATAAATTTTTGTATACTCAGTGACCGATCGCTGGCAGAAGACAGAGATTTTGTGACAAAATTGTGATTTGATTGTAAAATATTGATTGAATATTTGTGTTATTTTGTGTTTTATATTATTATTTAGGAATAAATTTTTTCTTGTAATTAAATTCAAATTAAATTAATTATTAATAAAGAAAATATTGTTTTAAAAACAACTAAATAAAACTGTTTTAATTATTAATACAATTAATTATAACAATTAAATACATTATAAGTGAATCTATATAAAATTATTTATAAAATACGCATATGCTAATAATCATTTTAAGTTATAATTTAAATAATTCAAATTATTTGGCTAATTACCAATAATAAAAATATTTATAAACTGTAGAGCCATCTAGTTATCATGTATAATAATGTTTGTTTAACCAAGTTTAAAGACATTTGGATCTTCTGGGTTTAAAGCTTTCTTTATAGACATATTGTTAAACGCAAACTAAATTATGTGAAAAATTATAGAGATAGGTCTTAAAATTTAGATTATTTTTGCTTCTGTTTAAGAATTAGTGTTCAAAATGTGTATAAACAGGATTGAATATAGCTTGTTTTACAACTTTTTTAGTATTTATTTATAATTTTATGTAATTTATATGTAATTTTATAGATTATAGTGAAAGTTAGTTTATAACTTATATGATTCCCAAAATTTTTATTTATTTTAATTCTTACAAATTGTATCTTAATAATTGTTTCCATTTGTAATAAATTGCAAATATACTGTTAGTACTAAATATAGTTATATACTAATTGTAAATGTAAATATAGCACTAATTATGAAAATTGAACATGTTTATAAATAATAATAAATTAACATTAATTTTAAGTTAAAATCATATCAATGCAAAATTTATTGTAACTAAATTACACTAGAAATAATATTTAAAAACTGTACAGCCATTTAGTTAGTATTTATCATGTTGTCAATTGAAGTTAGTACTAAAACCTGTTGGCAGATAAAATATCGGGTCAAGTTGTAAAATTATTTTGTACTAATAAAACAATATGATAATAATTATGGATCATGGTTCAATAGATAACGGATTTAATTTAATTAAATCTTAGCTTATATCAATTTGTGTTTAATTGCGTACATTACTGTACAGTACATTACTTGTTGTATAATTATAAATATTATAGATAATAGATCAAACAATTTAACAAAATAGATGAAATCTAATATAACATAAAATAATATCAACAAATTAATTAATTATCATTTTTTGTTCTATTATATTTTTTAATTTTAGCCACAAATGGCAACTAATAATAATTATATGGAATTTGTGGTTAATAATTAATGTTGTTTTAATAAATATAGTTACTGTTACGTAACGGCTAATTATTAATTCATTACAGGGTAGTAAATTATTAACAACAAAGCATTTGTAACTACCTTAACTGTATTTGATAAACAATATATTATCAATATGCAATTTATAATAATAAATATGGATATTATTTGACCGCTTCTTATCTTAACAACTACAGAGTCGATCAGCCGGTGCTGATAGTGTCCGGTGCTCTTCGGCAACTGTGCTAATTAAAAAATAATGCAAGATACATTTACAAAATAAATTATTTTTAATAAAATTCAAACCACTAATAATTGCAAGTGTGTATTGACAGTTATATTTGTAATTTAACAATATAGTTTTGTAAGATCTATAACAATTATTTAAGTTACAGTCTATTGATTAAATAAATGAAATAGAATTAACGTTAAACTAATTTTATAAAGTTATATTTAACGCAATAAAAATAAGCACATGTACAATTGCTATACTATTTAAATCACTAGTCTAAAAACCTACATGATTCGAAATAAATTTTTAACTGTGATATATATTCTATTAATAAAATTTAAATAAATTTTTAATAATTAAATATATAATATACTATTATAATTATTTTTATTTGTAATAATTTTATATTAATTTTATTACATATTACATCATATTAAAATATTTTATTTATTTGTCATTACTATAATTAATTGTATTAAATAAAGTTAACGGCATTTTTACTCACGATGCATATATTTCCGAAGCCCGGCTCAGATTTTAATTTAATTGCGTTATTCAGAGAGATTAGGGCATATAAAACACAACTATGTACTTTTTAGAAGATGACATTCACTTTGGGAGGCATGAGAGGGGGTCAAATATTTAATATTCCTCATTGCTATCGAAATAAGGCAGTAAGTTTGGATATAGCACTGTGGCCGAGTGGTTAGAGTGTCTGGCTACTAACCTCAATTTCCCAGGTTCGAAACGCCCGTGGACTATGTTTTATTTGCAACTTTTTTAACATTTTTTGACTATAATTTTGAAACAATGTTATAGTTATAAAATAATCTCCTAAAAAGTACATAGTTGTGTTTTATATGCCCTAATCTCTCTGAATAACGCAATTAAATTAAAATCTGAGCCGGGCATGGAAAATATAGGCATTGTCAGTTAAGTTTGAAATGCAAAGTATTTGTAAAATAATCAAATTTTATAGCAACGGCATAGGATGCCCAGTCGGCCACACCGCACATATTTACGCCACGTTTCAAACGCAAGTAACCTTTTTCGCCCCACCCGGCGCCCCGCGAGGATTGCAATGTCCAATAGTCGACCCCATTGTCTGTGCCGTAACCGACCACTAGAAACCATTCGGCGGGCGTATTGCCACAGTTGGGCACATCTAAAATGCCACCTTGGTAATTGATGAATTGTTCATTGTTAGTGTTAATGGCCACCGCCACTGGCCCTTTGTTCACCATAATTCCCAATAAATCTTGCTCATTGCCAGCTGTGATCCTAGCGTAACTGTCCACGCGTGCCACTTTGGGCTTGGTTGAGGCCAAACATATCAACCCAGTTGACACGCCCGAGTATGGGTACGACCTGGCTGTCGCTAAACCATCTTGCTCCTTAATGTATTTAAAAGCGTTATTCGCTGTACCACCTAGGCACGCTGTGTTTCCGTACGCCGTACTACAGTCTAACAATTGTTGAACCGACAAATCGGGCATGGTGTTATACTTTATATAGTACGATGACTCGAGAGATCCCACGGCCGCAAACGCCCAGTCGGATGCGCACAGTAGGCCCCGGTTCCCAACGGGACTCACGGCTCTACTATTGCGCCAATCAAAGCTTGTTGGCAGACTAATGGCCCCTGCTACACACCATAATAATAGTAATAGTTTGTACATTGTATAATATTTATTTAGACTTTAATATGATAATTTAACAATATAATTTTTTTTTAATTTATACTGTTTAGCAGCTTTTTATATATAATTTTAAGTAGAAATATAATCGTTTAATGATGGCACAATAAATGGCAATAAATTCTTAGGTAATTAATTTATAACATTGACCCCAAATAAACTTTTTATTTTAACACTTACAAGTTAGAATAGTGTAATCATGGTTTAATTTATGATTAAAATAGTATATTAAAGTACTTATTAAAAATGTGAACTTAATCATTAATATTTAAATTCACATGTAATTTATATTTATATTAGTGAAAATAAGCCAATTGTTTACTGTAAATTTGTAAGTTAAGTGTCAATTATAGCTGTGTCCAAATATTTTGTTATAAAATATTGTTATGACATGGACCTCTTTTGGGGGTTCAAACCATAGCGGGGGTGAGGCTGAGTAGCCTCGAGTGATCAGCCGTTGAGCGACTGATGGTATGAAAGGGTCGGCGCATTGCCGCCGAGTGGTTAGAGAACTCGGCGAGGGGCAAGTGCGTCGACCACAGGCGGAGATCGCCTGACTTGGTTAAGTGGCGCTCAGCCGTCGACGGTTAGAT